TGAAATTTGATAGCTTAGGTGTGTTACAAAGTTCGAGAAAATTACTTTTGAAGTTTGAGCGTTGTCAATGGAATAAATGCAGCTACCCAATTTCACATCCAATTGTCAAGACTAATTGTGACCACCTTGTACCGAAAGTAAATGGTCTCATTCTATACTTTTCCTAAATATAATTGTTTTCCCAGTGTAGGGGATTTGTGATTTTGTGCCTTATTTGAAGTTTGAACTAGAAAATTTAGAACCCATTTTCAACTCTGAGAGAGATCTGCATAAATCATATTGGAACTTGGATGTGATTTCCTATTAGTTTTGATTCACATAAGTTTTACGGCCTAATTTTCCAACAGAAATTGCTTTAAAATTAGAGGGGTTCTTTTGCAGAGGAGTTCCTTTGCTTTAGGTCTATCTTTGCATTGGAGGAAATAGGGTCTCTTATGAATGTGATCTATCAGCCATGAATTGTTATTCCCATACCATCCGTCATTTTCCTTTCAATATGTCTCTACTTTTGCATGTATAAATCTCTATTTCATAGAACATTTTAGCAAGTTCTAATTGATAAGGCTATCAAATCCTCTTCTTGATCATCTCTTTATGATTATCTTTTTATTTCCAGGTATACATGTTTGCTGAATGGTTTAAACCTGGGTGTTCTCTTGAGTACCCACTTCATGGAACTGGAGCTATCGTTGATGCCCTAATTCGTGGGTTGCAGAAATTCAATGGAAGACTAGCATTGAGATCTCATGTCAAGAAAATTGTCATTGAAAATGGCCAAGCAACTGGGGTCACCCTTGAAAATGGGTCTGTAAGTAAACTGGGCACAATCTTTTGGCCTGCTTATGTTTTAGTAGACAAAATGTTGTATACCTTCAACCATGAATGCTCATGTTTGGTAATTAAAAAAATGCTTTTTTTGTGCAGTTTATTCGTGCGAAGAAGGCAGTTGTTAGTAATGCATCCATGTGGGACACTTTGAATCTTTTGCCCCCGGATGAAATTCCAAAGGAATTTCAGGAAAGAATTAAATTGACACCACAATGCGATTCATTCTTGCATCTCCATCTAGGGTTTGATGCCCAGGTGGGTCCAAATTGATGCCAACCATTGACTGATTTGACTTGAGTTGATTGACCTTGTAGCAAATGCATGTATCATCCAATGTGATCATTTCTTCTTTCTATCTCTTGTGGAGCTTTGCTTCTTTTTATGATAAAATGGATACAAGTATTGTGACCTAGTTTTCAGATTCTGGATCTGCCATTGACCTGCATGCAAATTTGAAACTTTCCAGCTCATAAAAGTTCTGAAACTTAAGTGGTCATATTTCACATTGACATAGTAAATTTGGCTTCAAACCTCATGTTGAACAATATGTTCCCAGTTATAAATAGGCATATTTCCAATGTTTGTCTTTGCATAGAAAAGTTGTCTATTCTAGTGTATGTGTCCATGGATGTATGGAGATGTTTGTCTATTTGTTGTGTGCATGTGGGGTGCATGTGTGTACATGAGTAATCAATCATACATGATAACACGCACGTATAGATGCATCTTCTTTGGTTTGTGTTTGAAGGCGACTGTCTCTCTGGATATGTGTCTCTATCTTAATATCCGGCAACATCTAGAGTTAGTTTTCTTAGGTTAGTGCACATGTTGCATATATCCAATGATTGTATGTGTCCATACTTTCCGCACAAGGCACACATAGTTTCCTGCTTCAGACTTCCTCAAAGAATATCATCAGTAATGAAATTCTTCTTTCACTACGTCTATAAGAATATCATCGTGTCTAGATCAATCCTCAACCCCCTCTTTATAGCTTCATTGGAGCCAAAGTCCTTACCAAATGGTCGTTCTGGACATGAAGTATTGGTCCAACTCGATCTTTTGAAATATTTCGCTAGCTTGTAGTTATTTTTAATCTTTTCTCTTTTTAGAAGTCAATGACAATTGTCCCTGACTTTTAAATCATTTGTGGATCTTTTCTCTTTCTTGTTGTCTCTTTTGTTTCTTGTTTCCTGTTTATTTATTTTTAACTTTGGTAGAGGAAGTTCTAGGATAACAACTGTGGAGAATCTAATTTAATAGTATTTGACAGGACCTCCCTGAAGACTTGGAGATCCATCACATTGTTGTTAATGACTGGAATAGGGGAGTTGATGCTGACCAAAATGTTGTCTTGATCTCAGTACCAAGTGTATTGAGCAAAGACTTGGCTCCGCCTGGGAAACATGTATTGCATGCTTATACACCTGGAACTGAGCCATATAACTTGTGGGAAGGACTTGATCGCAGAAGCTCCGAATACAAAAGGCTCAAAGCCGAACGTTCCGAGGTATTACTTTTAAATAATTCTTTTCTTCCTTCTATTCCTTAGTCTCACGATTAACATCTATTCTTTTTTGAATGAGAGTTCTAAAATTTAGAAATCAACAATTTATCCAAAAAACTTAGAAGAAATAACACCCTTTTAATCTCAGTTATCATCTGATTAGCTGAAGTCTGTGGTGAAGTTTGATGTTGGGGGTAGTGGGTTAGATTTACACTACAATTTTGAAATGTACATTTGATATTTGGTTTTTCTGTGTTCAGCTGTTTCTACATCTAAAAAGAAGTAACATTCTCGAAAAAATTATAAATCATATCTTTATTACTCTAGCTAAGGGAATGTGCATTGTGTGATGCTCAAACTGAAAATTTTAGATGAAAAATAACTCTAGTATGGAATTTGTAAAATAAATAAACTCGATATTAATTTTTTATTTAGTTTTAAGCCATTCAATATTACTTCCAATTTGTATACCACGTTTAATTTTATTTTTCACATTCGAAGCTTGTAAATTTCTTTCTAACATAGATACCTATTATGTTGAAATAAATATTTAGTTGTTTTAATGGGAATTCCTCCTTTGGTAAGGAATTTATTTCAACATGATAGTTACACCGGGATATGCTTTAACTTATGATATCATTTTGCTTTTATCTTTTTAGGCTTCTCTTTTTCAGACAAGTCTCCTGCAATTCGCTCTCTTCTATTTTTATTTTATTAAAAATTGAATTTGGATAAGAATGTGAGATCTTTCGAAGGAGAAATATACATGGCTTTTTTATGGCATACTTTTTCATTAGATTTAGATAACAAAGGAGGTATAGTTTTAAGGAGAGATCCTATTTTGAAATTCCTATATTTTAGAGAGTGAATTTAGGAATTTCATATCT